TTACTAATTGAGATATTTTTGATTTCATTCGAGAATATCGAGTAAACGTTTTAAACGTAAAGAAAAAGTAAAATTTAATTAAGGAAATACGACATCATAAATGTAAGATGATGAAAGATAGAAATGAGAGTGTCGCTTTCTTTCATGCTTGCTATTAATGTCACAACTCAATTAATACTTGAAATGTTGATGTCGGTTAGGACAATTTAATAACTTAAGAAATTTAGTAGATGAGACTAATCTTACCTTCCAAAACTTCAAAAGAAAATCAATTTTGAATTGATTTCCAAAGTAGTGTTTAGAATGAAAGATGACGAATTAAAAATTTGATTACACAAATGCCAGTAAAACCAGCAGGTGACTAATTTAAAATACAATGATACGAAATGAAAAGAAGAAAGATAGGCGAAGACAAGCAATATAAGTGGTACGAAATAAAAATCAGCAGTATTTGTAGAATGATTAATTGGAATTGACGTTAGAGGTCAAAATTGTGACCTAAAAATTACTCTCAACCTAGACCTTTAAAAACATGTTCCAAAAATTTAAAAAAAAAAAAGCAATAAGTGATTGGAAAGACGAAGTGCTCTTCAAATTTTAGGTTGTACAATAAAAATATCAAAATTCAAATTCAGATTAGAAAAGAGATCATTGAGAAATAATACTTTATTTAGCAGAAGTGAAGAAAACATACATATCATTGAATTGCAAACAGCAACAACTTGAAAATCATTAGCATACGAAGTGTTTTAGTTATTCAAAAATCAAATAATTAAATTTCTGAAATTATTCGAAAAGATTTTGAAAATAGCACTTTTTAGCCAAATAATAACAGTGAAAGTAAATAGTTATTTATAATAATTTGAGAAGAAAATTCATCAATTACCTTGTTAAATACTTTTTTTTTCTGGGTAAAAATTAATTTATGCTTGGATGAAATCTTGCTAAACCATAAAAATTTAGTCGATTCATTGATTTCAAATTATCAAGCAGCCATCAAGTACTCTTCACTTCAATGGTATGAATAAATTTGTCGAGCTGTTAAATCATTTTGCAGTCATCAAGTATTCTTCATTTCAATGATGTGAATAAATTTATCTAGCTGTTAAATCATTTTGACTGATGGTTTGATGAAGAAAGCTTAAAAAATAAAAAATAAAAAAAGAAAAAACAAATTAAAAAATACGAAATGTCAGAAAAATATTCATTTTCATCCTGCAATAAAACTAGCAAGTGTCGTCATTGTTTCACCTTTGGAAAGAATTTCGATTCAAAGGTAAAATTTATAAATTATGTAAATTAATTTGAACTAAAACGAATAGATTTTTCTTGAAATTTGCTTACTTCGTATTTAATTATAAAACTTACTGATAAAACAAACAAGTAAATACAATCGAAAGATATAAATTTAGGATAATGTGATCGTATTGATTTGCTCACTGTAGATGAAATGTAATAATGAATATCGAATAATAGATAATTTGTGATAAGAAATGATAGTGTGAATTTTAATCTAATTTAAATATCAATTGTTTAGTGTGAAAAACAGTGATTAAGCACAAGAATACAAGTGTTACTTTCCTTTACCAATTGTAGAAACGGAAGAATATTTGAATTGATAGCTAGCTTAATTCGATATTTGTCACAGGTATGAGAAGTAGTAAATTCACTTAATAAAGAGAACGATTATGTAAATTGTAAGGAAAGTATCCTAAAATTGTTCTTAAAACCTTCAATAATTGATGTTATATCTGCTTAATTGAAGCATAGAAATTGAATGGATCCTTCAAAATGGTTCTTACTGCGATAAATTAAAATGGTACTAAGAGTTGAACGAAACGTTGCATTGTATTAATTTTAACAATAAATAGTATTATAGTAATAACAGGTAGTTATTATAATAAATAAACAGTCTTATAATGATAGTGGATAATGATCATAATAAATAAACAAATAGTTTTATAGTGATAACGGATAGTGATTAAAAATATATATTCTTGAAATACGAAAAGGCTAGATGAGAGTTGAACAATAGCATTGCCCACAAATGGTATAATTATTAATTATTAATTAGTGTATAACTAAAATTAATTGAATAATTTTAATTAGACAAAAAATTTTTGGCAGAAATGAAATGAATATAACGAAAGAGAGAATTTTTCCTTTTGGAATTAAAATGATCACTAAATGTATTTTGTATTTATGATAATATAAATGTCATTTAGTGTATTTGTTAGCATATATTAATTCAGGATAAATTTATTTCACCCATTGTTTGTGTAAACTTTACATTAAGCACAATTTTTTTTCCTTTTTCTTCTCTTCTATTTTAACAATTTTTCTTTTTCTTTTTTTAAAGCTATAAAGAGCAATTATAAATAAAATTCAAATGAACAAGATTTTCGACCACAAATTTTCATGTTTCATATGCTTTAGGAATTTTTTTTAAAAAAATATTTAATTCCTAGTTCTTAAATATTTAATTCTTAAAAAAATTTTTAATTCTTGAAATATTTAATTCTCCGTTAAAACTCTAAATTCAAATTTCATTTGCCAATTTTTTTGAAAAATGTAACTTTTATAGATCAATATTCTCAATTTTTCAATTTATCAATTTTTAATTTGCATCAGAATCATCGTTAATGTTGAATGATGATGAAGAATCTGATGCTATCATTTTGATGCATAAATTTTATTTTTAAATTTAACCTATTACCTCTTGATGATTATTAAATTAAAGTTGACTTTCCGAAAATCACTATCCAATTATTAATTAAATTGGAAAGTGATTTGTGTAGAACAAAATAATGAACAGCCAACATTCATTGAAGATTTTAACCATCCTTTCTGCCTTCTACAACAACAAAAGTGAAAGATTATTTTGTGGTCATTGTCAAACATCCAATCAAGGTGACAATTTGGAACAGAATTCATTTCATGAAATAATCAAAACTTACAGTCTAAATTCAGATAACACAAATTTCTTCTCGACATTTCACTCTATTATTTAGATTAGTATTTCAAACATTTTCTTGACCACTAATTCACTTTAGCTTTTTGTTTCTAGCAGAGATAAAGACTCAAAAAAAAGAAAAAAATTCTCCTAGTTTGAAAACAAATTTTAAAGTATTAGCTTATCAAATACTGATAAGAATAATCTTCATTCACGGCATCATCGTCTCCGATAGACCATATTTTAGTTCTCGTGGACGATTGGTAAGAAATGATTACTAATATAGACAACAAACAAATGGAATCTTTTCAAATAATCTTTCCCTTTTGAAAGAATATTTGAGTAATGGAAATTTTAATAGTGTGGATTGAAATTAATGGATGATGTCCTGTCTTAAATGTTCTTTTTATTTACTCAAAAAAAAAAAACAAATAGACTTTTATAGTAAGCGACTTTTTTCGAGTTATTTGTCCTCTCTTAATTCGTTAAATGTCCTTACGTGTCTATAAAATCAAAAAAAAAAAAGTAAAATCAAATTAATTTCATGAAATACAACAATGCATTGCACATAAAAAAATTTGTTGATTATAGTGAAATACTATGTTGAAAAAAAAGTTGATTGATACGATGACCTTCTCATAATTCATTCTTTCATGCTTTCATTTTGACCACGAAAGATAAATGACCTTATATATGACAAAAAAAATTTTTTCATCCTTTCATCTCTTTCATACAATCAAACATACAAAATAGAACAGCTGGTGAAAATCAATAATTTGCAGTGCAAAAAGTAACAAAATTTAAAAAAAAAGAATGAATTTAGAAAAAACGGGAAGAGGGAGAGGGAAGTATGAGGAATTTTGTTTGCAAAAAAAAAAGATTTAATGGAAACCAAAAGAAAATATATGAATCCAATAATGATAAAATCAAAGTAACTATTTAACGTTATATAAGATTTTCCCATTCTTTTCATGTCATCTTCTAATAATAAATTGAAATAATTTTGTTTCACATTTTCAGTTTTGCATAGATCAAAGATCTACCCTAAATAAATTGAAAGCTATAGAAATTTCTAAATTTTGCCAAATGTAAGCATTTTAACTACACAGAAACGAAGGAATCATTGGAAAACTATATTAAGCATCACGTAAGGAATAAAATTAAAGAATGTAAAGTAGAAAGGGATGGTTAGTCCTTCTTCTTATCATCCAAAACATTCGAAATAATCGGTCTTGCAATTTGCGAATTTCATTATCTTCCCATGAATAAAAATGATGCAAGAAGTTTAAGGAAATCTTGGATCTAATTGATGAAAAATATCACTGATAACAGATTCATCGGAATGTTTAATATTTGTATTTCAATTTTTGATGCCATTTCTCAGGTTAATCGATCAAAAGACGGTGATTTCAGCAGCCATTGATAAATCAATTAGGAAATAAGTTAAATAAGCCCAAAAGTTTCGTTTTTTCTTTTCATAAATAACTTCAATCAATTTATGACTGCAATATCATTGAGAAGAAACGAGCAACAACCATTCATTACTTCAATAAGATGAATATAAATTTATCGTTTACCTATAAAATTTTATTAGCAACTGCTAAAAAATGATTTTCGCAATTGTTTCATCCTGATCAGACATGAATCGGAAAGTTACTGTAACGAATCATCCAGGCAGATGTTAATGGTACCCGAAAAATGCTCATTTTTTGTTCCCTAATATAAGACGCATGGAAGGGATTACAGAAATTTTACCAGTAGTAAGTTCTAGAAAGTGAAAAATATGTTTTAAGCAAAACCGAATTTAAGACATGCAGTTATGCACCAGCATAAAAATGTTTAAAAATTGCAAAATTATAATGAAATTATTACATAAGAACGATCGAAGTACATTAACAGAGTGCAATGTGCACCGGATCAAAAATCAACCCAATTTCGGCAAACATAATTTTTAAAAAAGGAAATAAGGATGCGATTAAACAAATAAAAATACAGAAAAAAGTAATACAATTTAAGTACTTTCACAACCTTTGCACAAAAATGTTACTTCGAGACAACGTTACTTCGAGAAATCAAAAAAGTCTTAATAGTAATATAACAGTATCCTGAAACTAAAGCCCACGCAACTGTCTGCAATTTGCGCCAAACGATGGAATTACCTGAAGACATAATTTTTTACAAGGATAATACTGCAGTTTACTTAATTACCGAATTGTAGAATTCCACATTTCAATGGTATTTTTCCAAAAACGCAACAATTTCTTACAGTAGTTTAAAAGAGCAAGCCAAAAGGCAACTGAAAGAGTCAGATCAATTTACAGTTATATCAAGTCTTAACTTTTTACTACATCAAGTTTACCTGTATTTTAAAAACATAAAACAGCTGAGGAAAAATTGACCTCCCTTACTGCATTTTTCAGATTATCCTGCGTGATCAATAGCTGTTCCTCCGGCAGTGTCACTCCGGCTTCTATCGCTCCGATCCGTTTCCGTATTGCATCCATTTGTGCGTGGGAAATTACTGCATGTAAATCTGCTCCTGATGACAAATGACCAGACGACTCTGCCTAGAGAGCAAGTTTTTCAAAAAACAGATGGAAATTGAAATAAGATTATTTTAGCTAAAATTTTAAGCACATTAAGAATATCTAAAAGTTCATACGTGTTTACTAGTTTGCGTTTGCAAAAAAAAAAATAGTTTGCGCAAAAACTGCGTGTCTAGGATGACCAACATATTGAAAATTATTAAAGTACATCAACAGAATTTATATCTACCCCAAATATACTTTTTTAATCACCATTATTATAGTCACAGCTCCTACGGAAAAATTCACGAAGTATGTCAACGAATGGTTACAATTTTTTTTTTTACTAATTTTTCCCATTAATGATATTTTTGAAACCAAACTCTACTTATAAATGAATTAATTCATTCATGACAAACAATTTCTTTCAGATCGACATCATCGGCAAATGTTATATTTCGACTAGCTGCACGAAGTATACGTTCACGTGTTACAGCATTAGTTGTTCCGCTTACTTCAATGATTTTATCAAACCTTAAAATGGATAAAAAGCGAATAGTAAGAGAAATAGCAAAAATTTTATAAAAATTAATATGCAGAAAAGTTTCTGAATAAAGAGAGAATATGAGTTTTTTATCCGGATTACCTTCCAGGTCTTAGCAGCGATGGGTCCAACAAATCAAGCCGATTTGTGGCACCCAAAACAAAGACTTTCGAATCTTCCAAGCAATCTAATTCTGCAGCCAATTGTGACACAATGCTGTAATTAAATATGAATCGGATAGAACAAATAACAGCGATACCATATCATAAGAATTATAAAAATAGATAGTTTGAATTATAGCTGATAAACACACTTATCAACTACACGACTGGAATCACCGCAACGACCTCGTTTGGAAGCAAGAGAATCGAGTTCATCGAAGAATAACACACATGGCTCAGCCATCCGAGCTTTCTCAAAAACTGAAAGAATTGATTTAAGTAAACTTCAAAAATCTATATTTCCATCACCGCGATAACTATCTGATTTAAGAACATACCGCTTCAGAACTCGGTAACGCGTGACATTATTGAGGAATACTATCAGTTATGTACAATTTGGATCGTTAAAAAAACACGTTACCTTTGCGGACGTTTGCTTCGCTCTGGCCAACATATTTATTAAGAAGTTCAGGTCCCTTCACGCTCAGAAAAGTTATCTTAAACTGATTTGCAATAGCTGCAAAAAAAGGATCAACTTTTAACGTTCTAATATCAAAGAAACCAACATAAACGCAAATAATGTGCTTCGTTTTTTTAAGAAAACTTATCGAAGTTTAGTGAAAAACAAAAAACGCCCAACTTGTGGTCTTCGATTTTAGAGAAAGTTTTAAGTTTTAAGCAAATATGGATGCAATATGATGTACAACTGCAATCTCAATATCACCATTGCCTGCGGTTTTACCGAACCTTTAGCAATGAGTGTTTTACCACAACCAGGAGGACCATACAACAAAACACCACTACGTTTCATATTCTTCTTCCCTTGCAAATTCAAAACCAAACTTTCCATAACAACTTGCTTGACATCGTCTAAACCGCCAACATCATCCCATGTTACCTTTGGTATCTGTAAATTTATCTATCTGTAAATGTGCACCAAATTATAGCGAAATTACAATTTTGAAGTAACACGGTTTTAAACCTATAAATAAAATGTCATTCCTTAAAATTTCAAAGAATTTAAGAAACTAAAAGTTTGTTTTTCAAGGAATTTCTCTGTATTAATTGATCTGCTTTTCAAATTCCTTCTATTAGATGGTTAACGTCGCGCATCATTAATTAACATCTATAGAAATGGAAGAGGTAGATCAGAATACGAGGTAATTAAATTAGGAAAAGCAAATTAGAATGACTGTTGATATTTAACTGCAATCTATAGCAATAGCTTCATAACATTAAAGATTCGAGTTATTTTTTTTTTGATTTTCTAAAGACTGAACTGTACTTTAGTTGGATTACAAAGTAGTGGTTCTCTTTCAAATGGCATGAAATTCATCCGTAATCTTTCTAATTAAACGCAAAAACTACTGATTAATAACTTGCAGTGGGTGCTCCAACTTTATCTCCCAATCTCTTGTTACGCTCATCAATTGCCCATATGAAGTGTTCAGTCTTTTGTTTCGGTCTATAAAAAAGAATTTCAAGTATTTGAAAACATTATGCATCCTGATTGTTTTTACCTGAATAGAATAAGCAAAGACTCACGAATTTGTACTGTACTTTCGAAATAATGCATCCGACAATAGAATGTGCAGATCGGACAGAGTAAACCCCTAAAATTCGGCAAATTTTGCATATCGTCGATTTTCATACTATTTGTCGATATTCAAATTTCTCTAAACTAAATCAACTCGAAGTACAATAAAATGATAGATATAAAAAAAATAGTATGTTCCAACGAAAAGAAAAAACTCCAGAATAACCTACGCTTGTCTGGTGACCAATTGCAGCGGTATCAATAAAATTTGGTTCATTAAGTTCGTGCATAATTATGGATTTTCGATCTTCTTCGGTAAGTGACGGAATTTGGAAATGATAAAGGATTAAAGAACGCAACGATTCCGGTATTGTTGATAATTTGTCGCAATTACAAACCAAAAATACAACAGGTATGGTGCAAGCTTCAAGGAGTTTCGTTAAACATACCAATCCTACAGTATCTGCAACAAGAATCCTCTTTAAAAATTAGAAAAACTGGATACTGGTATTAAGATAAATCAGACTTGATAGTGCAGTCACCAATGCTAGCAAGAAATGCGTTCAAGTAGCCATTAGTTCAAGAGATATTATTCGATTAGAGAGTACTGAAATGACTACATGCTGGAACAGATTTACAATACCGGTCCTAAGAATATTTCTTTTAATTAACCAACTCGGATCTTCAAGTATGAAATTCAACAATTCCCTCATAAAAAAATCCTTTGCATACAAATTTACAAATTAAACTTTAGGATCAATCTGTGGCAAGTAACAGTGATCTTTGTTTATTTTTTCAAGATGAGATGGATAGCTCATAATGTTGTTTATCATCTAATTTTGAAATGACGAAGTTTATTTGAATAAAACTGCTGCAATTGTGCAATTGTGCAAGTTGTGCAGGATTTTCATTTTGTGTTAAATTAAATATAATTGGAAGTAAAATTCTGAAGGAAAGTTAGCAAGAACCCTGTTGTTACAAAAGTTAAGTGGAAGGAATTTAAATCACCTTGCTTAGCACCATCTGAGTCGTAGCCAAGTACATCTGCATTTAGAAGAGCCAATGATGAAAAATTACTCGTTGAAGCTACAATGACTAAATATATCCAAAACGAAATTAAGAAGCAAACTAATGAAAAGTAAGCAAATCAATATCCTTGTTAATAATTTGAATTTAAAATTAAATTAAGTGGAACAGTAAGAAACAAAACATTTATGAAGTATCGATAACGTAATCAGAAGGAAGAAAAGAAAAAGAGAGAAAAAAAAACCTTTTTCAAAAGTATTACGAATATTTGTTTCATAAGTTCCAGGTGCATCACTCCAAATACTAAAGCAATTGGAGAAGTAAACATCCAGATGAGTTAAAGAAGATAAGTGCTTCAAGAATAACTTTTTCCCAGAACCCGCTGAACCACTGAGGAGTATAACCAAAGCTGATGAAGATGTGTTCAATTCACAGTTAGCTTCGATCAGAGAAGAAATTCGTTGCGCTATTCCTACGAATTTTTCCGGCACGTAACATGTAATATCACTGTATGGGATTTTGTGATAAATCTCCTTATCCTGTAAAACACGAATAGTGTTATCAAGCCAACTAAAGCAAAATTAACTCTTTTTGTTTGGTAGGAAATGGTCTACCACAAAGAAGCCAAGTTTTGTTTTTTCAAAAAAGGAAGAAAACTCTAAAAAGATATTTAAAAATTTGTAGCAGTAAGGAAGCCACTAAAATCGGACAGAAACAAGAAGGAAATTGCAAAAATATGAAAGATGAATTTTGGTAATTAATACTTTGCTAAGAGGGGTGAAACCACAATTAAGCAAAAAGATAACCTTAAGAATATAATTGAAAAGGAAAAATAAAATTATTTCCTTTATCATACAAGAAAAATTAAATATCAAAAGACCTGATACAACGTTGTATTTTGTAAGTCAACGATAGCTTCTGATAGTCCCCCCGAGTCTTCGAAATAAAGAATCTAAAGACATAACATTTGCACAAGGTTCAAAAGATTACTAATAAAAACTATTAAAAAATAGAAGTCAACTCTTTCCAATACTCAATTCCAAACATCCAGTTTATTTATTCAACTAAATTTTCATTTAAAGTTCTCAAAAATTAATGCCGATAAAGAGTTTATCCTATGAAATACTGTAATTACTTTGAAAAATATCTCGTCCACTTTTTTACTCCATGGTTTACGGCATGGAACAGCAATGATATCTCCCACCGAAAGCAACCTAAAAAAGTTTACACATAATATCACTAAAAGTTACATTAACTGCAGAATATGTAAGAAAAACATAAAAAATTTAAGAAAAGTGTAGGACATGTAAGAAATTTTTCTGTGCAAGAAAAACTTTATGGAATTAAGCGCAATTTTCTGATGTCATACATTTATAAGATTGAAATAAACATATGTTCATCTAGCATACAATACGCTAAGAGTTGGCTAAGAGTTTGGAATAGAGAAGCCATTGCAGCCATAATGAAAAAGCTTTGGAAGCACTAAGAGTGGCGCTTTGCGAAAGCTTGTGATCTGAGGTACATAAGCATATCTTTGAAAAGATTTATAAGGTAATAATCACAATGATGTGATGAAAATAAAAAAGTCATGACCTTTTGACAAATTTTCATCAAAATACTGCACTGTTATCATTTGTAACAACTGGTAATACGTAACAGAAATTTTTGGTGATGATTGAAAAAGGGCAGAAAGGAAGAAGAGCCAAAAATACAGACCTTGGAGTTCGAAAATAATCTCGAAGTTCATCAGAATAATCAGACCATGGATCGTAAAAAGATGTAATGATTAAGGCAACATGGACACAGCGTGAGATAAATGATTCTTTTTCATTAACTGCATCCGAAGAACAAAAGACCTAAAAATGAAGCAATTTTTTGCCAATATGTACGAAATATAGAGAGATATATCAGTGCACTGCTATGGAAATTGCATTCTCAGCGACCTGTGTCTCTGATAATCTAGTTTCAACTTTCGTTTAGCTTAATTAATCTTCGAATTTTGCAGTTATTGCCTCAAAGGATTGGGAAAAATTTTCCGCTGTAATTATAAAAATGAAATGGCAAGATAGAGGAAATCGACTTATTCAGTGAGCGAAAAAACAGTATTTTCTAATGAAATGTGACATGACCAAGAGCATGATATGATGCGAATTGATGCTGAGAATAACTAAAACTGTATCATTCTTCATCAAATAATAGTCCAAACAGCTTAAAAATATTGCAGAGGGACAATTACCAAAAAATAAATCGCCACAATTAATTAAATCACACATTACTTGGAAAATAATTTTCAAAATCAAATAAGGTCATATATCACATATAATTAGTGGGTGGCAAGAAAAAAAAGGAAAAACTATGAAAATATGAATTTCAAAGAATGGATTGAACTAGATTGGTTTAACTGATGGGATCAGAAACTTTTTCCGGAATGATGAAAGTGCCTATGATTAGAGAAATGCTGTGCTAATTGACCGAGCGGTCCTGATGGCAAGCGGAATCTATAAACATGTTAGAATGTGTAAATGCAAAAAAAAAGAAAAAGAAAAAAACACCTCAATGAATGCATCGTCAAGACGGAATCCTCTATTGGAAAGATTAAATGCACCAAGCCCATCGATGAAAGCAACAGGTTCGTCGCACAGTACTGGATAAATTTCGACAGGATACATAACTTTTTGAACAGTGTTGTTACGATTTTTTACGACCAGTTTTTTCATATTCTTAATATAAGCTGTAATTAGGAAAGCATAACGACAACCGATCCATATTGCCATCCCAGAACTGAAAATATTCACGATTATAAATTCGTGAATTAAATCAACCAAAAATAATCCAATGTCTGTTTCAAAATGAAATGAAACAATTATTTCTGAGATTTGGAACTAGAAATAAAATTTATTGGAATTATGTCAAAGTTTTATGAATCAAGTTAAATGGAATGATTAAACAGCTTAAGTGGAAACTTCGAGAAGCTGGTAAATAACACTGCTATATTATCAATATTAACACGATATGACACAGTGAATGACAAATTACAATTAGTAGGATTTCAAAGGCTATTAATAAATAGGAAATTTCAAACCTACAAACAAAATAAAAACCCATGTTGTTTCTTCCTGATTCACTATTTACCTTCAAACTAAACGTTTTGATCCAAATAAGCTAAACAAGAGAACTTTTGCTTTACTTTATTATTTACAACCATTTTGATTTTTCAATCGACAACTGTTCCCTAACTTTACCGACAGTCTATCTACTAACAGCAGTCTATCTACTTAACAATTCTGGCCATCAGCAACCATTTTTTTACCATTCTTTTGAAATCTTTAGGTTACCACGAATTCCTGAACAATCAAAACGATCAAAATAATGCGTTCAGAATTTGAAAACAATGTTGTGGTGATAAATGGCATAAAAGTTGGATAGAACTAATTTGAAAAAATTTCACAGTGGTAAAGGTTGAGCAATATAATATCCCTCTATTCCACACTTTGATAAGAAGGCATTGTTGAAGATAATGAACTTTCCAGGTTATATCTATTGAAAAAGATGATTTTTCAAATTAACGGAATAGAAGATAGAAAACCTCTGATGGCCATAACGAGAACGCTTTTCCCTGATGGAAATTTGTTGACCACTGCGATGCGTCCAGATGTATTGACTTGGATTTTTCTGGAACCATCTGATATATAACACCGCCAAAAACTGTGCAAGCTTA